ATCTGTACATATCTAGCTTTTCTGTCATGAATATGAGGAGCAGTGAAGGCAGCCAACATACCAGCTATTAATACTAGAGCATCATTGATGTACTTTTTATACCCACTGTACTTCCTATATAGATTTTTCAAGTTGTTGCAAAGTTATTTAAAGATGAGATTTAAAGATGAGATTTTGAGCACTCATAAATGTGCACAAGTGCTTGTGTGCACACCCAAACACACACACACACACACACACACACACACACATACTTCAAATGTCTGAAAATGTTTCTGTACGATAAACAATCTCAACAGCCTGCATTGAGCTGCTTAAAATGTGTCTTGTACTGAAAATATAATTAGTTCAGTTTATGTGCAACATTGCTTGGTTAACACTGTAAACTCCTCTGGATTACCAAATTCAATTAACATATGTTTTCTGTAAAAAAAACTCTCATGACCTTTTTTAGAAGCTATTATTGAGTCAAGTTTACTATAGGTTGAGCTAAGAAATCTGTGAGACACGGAGGAAAATTAGTGCAGTATGGTCTTATGATAGAAATAAAATCTGCAAGACTCAGTTTTATTTACTTTCTGGTCTGTTCCTTCCAATGAAATTAGTTCTTTTTTTCATGGCTGTTGATAGAATCAGTTGCTATAGCTTCTTTCTATATTGTTCTTTCAGAAGTTAAAGTCTTATTCCAGAATGTTTGACATAAGCATCATTTTGTCTGTGATGAAATGGGAATACTGGGATCCAGGGTTCTTCTCTGACAGTGTTAGCTGAGCTGTACATTAGGTAACACACTAGAACCACAGGAAAACTTGAAGTGGGAAATTCAAATTGGAAGACAACAAAGGAACACAGAAACAGAGAGACAGATTAAATGCCGGAGGAGCACAAGGAGAATGAAAAGCTGACGTAATTAATGCCAATGACCAGATCCTCAGATCTGTTCCCTGTACTGGGAACAGATAAGACACAGAGGAGTCATTCAGGGACATCATATCTAATGTCCTATTAAACATAATGTAAATACACACTAAAAGAGTTTCAAAGCTCTCAGGAGAGTCTGACCTCCAACTTTTTTCAGTCACATCATCTGTGCCAACACATTACAGGATCAAGGTGGTCTATGGCTTCCGTGGTAGCTTTCAACCATTTCAGTAGCCTATCCCAGGACATTTCTCACACGCTGGGATGAACCTGGTCAGGAGTTGGTATTGGCAAAAAGGTTCCAACCTTGGTCTGTGGTACAAAAATTGTGTACTTTGATATCTGCATCATCCATTTAGCATGACACTACTCCTTACACAGAAAGAATTAGTTTTGTAAGTGCTCATTGCTCTTTTGTGTGTAATATGGATCAGGAACATTTTTAAACAATTTTTTCTCATATTTTTAGCATATGTGCAGCAGATTATACCAGCCTAGGAAGATCCTAACTAAATTACACTTCAAAGAAATTAAAAGAAATTTAACTACAGGAGGACACACTTAAATCAACCATATCTGCGTCCTTTATTGGTCACAAATCGTTTCTGTGTGATTGGGACATTTTCATTTTCATAATCTCATTTCTGATTACACCACCTCTCAAAGAAGCTTTGAGTGTTTCCCTTTTTTGCTTTTTTTTCCCTCACGGTGTCACTACAGGCCAAACCTGACAAATTCTTTATGCATCCATGTACATGAGCCTCAGCACACTGGATGAGACACTTCTGTTCCGCTGCCTCCAAAGGCCATCTATAACCTGTTCAGGGGCTACAAGAGATGGATCGCTGTTGGATGAGCATAAGTCAGTGTGTGTGAGTGGTTAGAGGGCTTGTAGGCTTTCCTTTATGCAAAGCTTTCATTTGTTCTCCTGGACAGTGGCTATTTTCAATATGAAGGAGGACAAGTCTCAGAGTCAAAAGTCTTGCTGGGCAGCAAATGTATCAGAAATTAAACTGTATACTAACATTCTTTCTGTGCTTAGCAGGCAGAGCTCTTAAAACTTTAGTTTTAGAATAAATGTATGTATGATCTGGTGAAGGTCAACTGCAAAGTTAATGTTATCTGGCTTAAAATTATTACCTGTGTATTTTTACCTGAATAAAAGGTTCTCATGCTCAGTCCCAGTTCTCTTACTGCTCCTCATTAAGGCATAGTTTATTTAAAGTATTTAAAGTATTAGCAAATGTTCAAAATTTTATTTAGTGCAAAAAGAAGATGAAAGCAATTGATGTTTTTATTTGTGAGAGCATATGTGACCTCCATCTCAGCTATTTATGTCATACACTGACATTGCATCTGTGGACTCCTAAAGTAGATCTGCCATAAAAAGATGACCTCTGTCTTATTTTTGGGTATAACAGAGGATTATAGTCAAAATGCAAAAATTCTGACTTCCTGACATTTTTATCAACCCCAGTAATATGTTTCAGTCGGAAAATGCTGAAGTTGTCAACATGCAGATTTTAGGTATTTTGTTCTTGTTGGATTTTCTGTAACTCAGCATCTGCAACTGTTGGTTTTGCTTCTTAGGGAGTCTCTTACACCATAAGTACTGCCTCATAAATTCCTGTACAAGCATGTAATAAATCTGTTTAATTTTCAAGAACATTTCTGTCTTCTGATTAAATGGTAATTTCCTGTATCAGAAATCTAATGTCCTCTCTAATCAAAAGATTATATTTCAAGATCAGATTTTTATCTTTTTTTTTCTATGCTAAGTGTATTTGAAGGTTTAGAATTCAGGTAAGATATACAACTAGGTTTTTTTTCTTATTTCTTTGAAATTTTTACTTCAAGTTGTTTTCAAATTAGTACTTTGACATTTTCATCACAAAATGATGTATTAACTCTACTCCTTCAGCTGAAATTTAAAAAAACATCATTAAGATTTCAGACACTAGGGCAGGAGAAAAATGGCATCTTATCTAAATAGTGTATTCATAACTTGGCCCTTACCTCAGTTGAAGGTATTAAAATATTGCCTGTAGTTGTATGAAAAAATCTGTTTTGCCATATTTCATATTCAAGGTGGACCTTTTTTCTATATTAATTAAAATCATGCAATGAGGAAACGATGGGTATTTTTTGTTAAATAACTTCAAATTCTGTTGGGGTTTATAGGAAGAAATAGTATTTTCTATATTATGGCAGTTGTACCTTGCCATGGAGATATGGATTTGCCTCTTTCATCTACTCTAGGACGACTTATCAAAATCAATCCTATCAGGATGGTCATTTGTTTCCATGTTCTTTGTGTCTTGGGAAGATTCTGAACACTCAGAGCTGAAAGACAGGGCAGTGGGACCTCAGCTGCTGGGCTTTGAGAACAAAAGGTGCTACTCACTGATTCACCAACCTGATGTCCAAAGTGAATGTCTACAGTGAAGAACAGACTTTTAGGTCTCTTCTTCAAGATGTTCTCTCAGGTTATTTTGAAAGTAAATTATATTATGGCTTTGAAGGATAATAATATAATTGTGATTGGGTAATTTTGTCTTCAGAGCAGTGTTTGAACTATGAACAGTTAGAAAGCAATGGATACCCACTGATTGATGAATGTAAAATAAATAGTAAAATAAATAGGAAAGAATCCTCCTACAATGTGGCATGAAGTTGCTGTACAAACAAACGAAAAGTTAAAACACATTGAATAAAACAAAAATTGTGATAAAGCATATGGACAGCTACATAATCATAGTGGAAATAGCTAAGATGGGAGTTCTCATTCTATGGTATGTGTATCACTAGTGGTATGAAAACTATTTCAAAGTGGTCTTCAAATAAACTCTGAGCATCTGAGCTGAAGAATGTCTCCTTCATATGAGTTACTATTATTGCATTCCCACAGGAAACTAGAACAAAAATCTGGAAGTGTGCCTAGGGATTGGTACATGCCACATTTGCACCATCACTAATCTGGTAAAATACAATTCTTTTTCCACAGCAGACTAAAATGGCTACTTCAGGCATAAAGGATAACCTGGTAAGTGATAGGTCACAACAGCTCAAGTACAGTGTCATGTTATACACTTTAATACCTTTCTCCAACTCTAGCAGGGAAGATGAAGTTTGTGACATTGTGTCATTCTGGGAACATCCTCAGGTGTACTTCACAGGCTTTTTCCAGGTAAACCAGTGAGAACAAACAGGAGTAACTTGTTCTCTTGCGTAATTTTAGTCATTTGCTGACAGCTAAAGAACCATGAATATTAGATTTTATCCAATACATAAACTATAGCAGGCAGAGACTTTTTTCCCATATACTGCTCATCAAGCCTGCCTGCCCAGACTCTTATCCCTAGCTTTCATTCTCATCTGGTTTTAATTGCCTGGCATTCACAATTTGTGTTCCTTAGGCTTCTCACAGCTCCTTGATCAACATGTCTGAGCTCCTTGTCCCAACTCGTTATCTCAGTTTCCTCTAGCCAGTCTCCCCATCCCACCTTCATCCCACCTTCCCCACCTTTGTCCAGTTCTCAGCTTTTGTCCACATGCAAGGGCATTTCATGACTGAGACACTGCAGTGCCTTCATCTGCATTTTCTGTGAACAAGTGTTTCAAAGGAAGCTCTGCTACTAGCTCTAAAATTTAGCATAGCTCTTTTTTTTTCACAATGCTTGTTACACTTCAAAAGTTTCTGCTACCATGGAGTTGCTGGATAGATACATACATTTCAAAAAATGTATCTAAGTGAGCACTTTATAATATCATATACTCTATAGCTATGTACATAAGTATGACTATGTAAATTAAGAATATAGATACAAGACTAAGCAATAGGTGAAAATGTCCAAAAAATTAAAATTTCTGAAATGGATTATACCCAGTTAATGGGTAAACTCATAATTAACCATGTTGCCTTTAAGTAATCATTTAAGTAGGCTAATTAATATGTGGCCATGCATTTTAAAAGAAGATTTGAACTTAAAAACATATTTTAGATAATATTACAATACTATTTCACTTGGAATATTTATTAATCTGAACAATTATTTAAACAAGACAAGTATACAACTTAACAGGTACAGATATATAAAAGTACAAACATACATTTTGATCAATACAATGCAATAGAATTAATAGTGTCTAGTGAGTACTAACCAATGTATAATATTAAATGAGTAGAAGAATAATTCAGTATTGCCGGCAGTATGGGAGATGACAAGTCTAATTTCAAAGACATTCTCAAATGACAAAGGAAAAATGTATTAATCCTTTCTATTCAAGATAGTGAAAAAGTAAATATATGGCTGTACATATTTGAACATATAGTTATAAATACACATACATGTGTATTAATTTGAATCCAATAGAAGTAGTATACAATAATATGATTAAGAGAGAACAATTTAAAAATAATTTCATTAGGCAGTGCTGATGGATTTGCTTTTATACTGAAGTAATCTATGCATGGCCATTGACTAGCAGAATTATTAAAAAGTCATTGTTATGGCTTCAAAGCTAATACATTAGGTAATAATCATGGATAATCGCTGGATTATATAAGTAAGCAAACTCTTCTGCTGTCATATACAAAATTTCAAAATTGTGCAACATATATACCTTGACAGAGTCCCAAGATACCTGTGAAGTTATTCAAGCACTTCAAATACTTTCTAGTACTTACAGATGTGTCTGAATGCTTCAGTTTGGTGCTGTTTTTGAGAAAAGAATAAAAGGGAGTTAGGGAAACCTGGTTGAATATTTAAGAAAATATTCTGCTGCATAAATGAAGTGGCAGGAGATCCATAAAACCAGTCCCCAGAAGTGCTGTGGGGTTTATCAGTCTGTAATTGAGGTGAAAACTTCCCTGTGATTAAATCACTGTTTACATTCCACTTCTGGTATTCATGCACAAACTGCAGTCTGTCAGCATATAGAAGTTTCCACAGTGGATTCGGAAAATAATGTGTTTGGTAAAGCCAATTTGGTGCTGGGCAGGAAGGAGAGAGTTCCCATGGTGTGAAATAATTCACAGCAAGGCAGTGCTTTACCTCCTTTTGGTGCCCTCGCTTTCGTGACCTTCGATGTTGCCTGAAGTCCCCATGAACGAAGTCATCTAAGTTTGATGGGTGAATACTCCAGTAGTTTCCTTTGCCATCCTCACATCTTCCCACCTTGATGAAACAATCATTTAGTGAAAGGTTGTGCCTTACACTGTTCCTCCAACCTCGACCTTTGTTCCTGTAAAAAGGAAAATTATCTTCAATATATTTGTAGATAGCAGCTAAATTCAGTTTATTTGTGGGGGAAGAAAGTATCGCCTTTGCAATCAAAGCTATGTATGACAGAGGTGGCTTATCCAGAAGTCTTCCTTCATCCACAATCACAGGAAGACCCTTTTTGGCAGTTTTGTGAGAGCTGGGAATTCGGGGTAGAAGCCCTTGAGCCAGTTTTCCTTCTTCTTCTTTTCCTACTGTACAGATGTCTAGACTTCCTTCATTGTTTTCAGAAGAGTCTTCACTCATTATAGCAGCCTGAAACCCAGCATTTATTTTAAGCGCTCTGATATTTTACTGCAAATAGCCAGTTGAATAATTGGCCCACTGAATATAACCAGCAGGAGAAGTGAAAGTTGGACTTCAAATGTGCTGCTCTCACGTATCCAGATTTCTATTTTATACTCTGTTAAGTCAACATCCTTAACAACGAAAACCGAACTGCCTATGTTTACAGAAGTCAAGGTGCAAGTCCTAGCTGAATGAAAAAAAAAATACAAAATAATTATGCTGTGTTAAGTATGAAGATAAACAGACCATGACGTTAGCCTCCCACTTCATTATAATCTGAGAAAATACCCTTCAGTGTTCCCCATTGAAACATAATGATTAATGAGAAATTTAAGGTGCCTAGATAGAGTTGCAAAAGGATCAGACTCTCCAGTGATATGCAGAACAAACTGAAACCAACATGTTGGTTCCTGTGTTTTACACTTAGTCATACATGTTGTATTTAGTACAATAAACATTTGTTTTACCTGCTAATAGAAAGTTCTGTGTGAAAGGAAACCACCTATCAAATTTTATAGCTGCCATATAGCTATTGGTGAAATTGAATTAAAGCAAAAAAAAAACCCCAAACACAAATTTCTCCCTGATTTTTCTTATTAGCTCTCTGATAGCAACTATCTTCCATGCTGAGTATGCAAGTGACCAGTTCTGCCAACACAAGAAACCACTTGAGGGAGCAATCAACACTCAGAGAATTCTGTGCTCTGTCACCCCCAAAGCACAAACTGTCACTTGAACTTTGACATGGCACTCAGCCTCCTGGGGTCTGACACTGCTAAGGAGAAGACACTTACCTCATCTTGGAAAAGGCTGCCCTGGGAAGTTGTGGATACTCCCTCTCCTTAAGTGTTCAAGGCCAGGTTGGGCTGGTTCTGAGCACCCTGGTCTAGTAGAAGGTGTCTCTGCCCATGACAGTGGGGTTTGAACCCCAAACATTTCTATGATTCAATAATTCTATGATGTCATGAGATTAGTCATTAGGAAGATTATTAAATATGTTGAAATACGTTCTAAAGCAAAATGAAACAACATGGTGGAAGCTTTGAAAGAGGATGTATTTTCTTTTGGGTCACTTTTGATGTTCAAAATATGTATTAACAAATGAGGTCTATGTTTTGGGGTATCAACAATGGCATCAAAAATTTAACCTTAAAAGCCTGAAGTTGATGCTGTTGTTCAGGCTCTTTTGGGTTCTGAAAATAACCCTTGATTGCTCCTTTCATATGCTAATTCTGTCAAAGAGAGAAGGACATTAGGGTATCTATTAAAATGATCCCTTTCCTCCTGATCTTGAAGTTCATGCCCTGACAGATCATCTTTACTGTGCCCTTGTAAGCCTTGTCTCAGTTACATTACCTGAAACCAATGTTTCAGTTGGTAGCCTGATGTTTTTAGATTAGGAAACAAGACTCATAATGCAACACTATAGGTCACATGGGCTACCTAATATTTCTGTGCCAGGGTAGAATTGCCACCTTCTTGCTTGCAAGATTTAATAGAACACTTTTCCGGTAATCATTGTGAATGGGATATACCTGGTATTTTAACAGCCTTGTCCATTCAAAAATCCTAGTGATAACATGATGAGCTATTTAACTGTTTTTTTCTTGGTCTCCAGTCTCAGCAGTAATTTCTTTTGAAGGCATTCATTTGACCTGCTCTATCCCTACTAGGAATTTGTCTGCCTGGAACATCCTAAAGTTGCCATCATCTCTCTGTTACTGGTAGTTTTTCACAACCTTCTGATGACTAATTTACCCAGTTTTTTCTCCTCCTCTCTTATTTGTAGCAGAATGGTTGCCAAGTCGTAGCAGAAATTATTGAGATTATCTCTGAAATCTGTGATCTGGCACGTTAGACTATTTATTCATGCCATTTCTGTTGTTTCAACTTTAAGCAGGTAATACCTAAAGGGGTTCCTACAATAATAATATTAAAAACTTGATTTTAATTCAGAATACCAGATTTTCTATATTAGGTTATTTCTACATAAATTTGTGTTTTTATGAAGCATTGCAGTTGTAGACTGGAGAATGAATGTTGCTCACTGTGACAAGGACTGTGTGTTCCTTTCCCCATAGCTCCAAGAAACACAGAATCAACCACATGTTCTGCTATTTTAGTAGTGACTTTGTAAATTGAAGGATTGTAAAGAAGGACAAGGCACAGAACCCAAATTTTGAGTGCCTACAAATATCCAAATTAAATTAAGGAAGGAAAACAATCTAATTAGAGTTTTTTAATTTTAATGGAAGTCTTTCAGGAACAGAGGAAACCGATTTTATTAAAAGGACCCAGTCTGAAGAAATAGAAATTTAAATGCAGTAAATGCCCAAAAGTCAAATGCATAATACTTGAACTCAAATCTTATATAAGAAGAAAAATTGTGTTGAAAGGGCTCCATATATGAACAGATGCACAGTTCTTTCAGTAAGTAAAGGAAGATCATACAGGGAATGAAAGACAAAAGGGTGAGCAGAAAAACCTACATTTGGAAAGGCTGCAAGCCCTAGGCTCCGAAATCACAATTTTTGTTTTTCAGATATACCACCAAGGAAAATATTAATCCCATACTCCAAGTTGTCTTGCCTGTTCCTTCTTTCTGCCCATTATTTCTGGAGTTAGCTTTTATTTTCCTCTGAGTCTTTTCATTAGAGGTGGAAATTCCTCTCTGCCCAAAACTAGATTTCATCTAAAAAACTAAGACAAGTTCTCTGTTTTATCCTTATTCTTTGTGGGAACCCTCTTGTCTGAAATGTATGCAAAGCTCTTACATTAGAGGAACAACCTTCACGGGCGCAATGTCCAGTTTTATCTGAAAAGAAAAATGAGAGACAGGGAAAGCATACTGTATATTCTTACTATGCAGACTTTTTCCAACCTGGGGAAGCAGATTCCTCTTCAAATGTCTTCACACACCTTATTAAAGCATCATTTTTGTTGCCACATCCTCTTCGATGCTGCTAAAACTCTGCATGATTATAAATCTGAGATTTCCCACAAAGCGCACAAAAAGAAGGGTCTGGCTATATCAGCTAGACTAGTTAAACTGTTTATCATATATATTTGTGAATAAATTATGTATTCTTGAAAAGATGAATGAGGACAAAAGAGCATGTGGAAATTCTGTTCCAGTAATGTAATGTGCTCTGAATTTTCACTGTACAAGGGTTTTTTTCCTCTGCCCTTAATTTAGGTTAAGGAGAGTTTTTCAATGTCTTAGCTTTGATTGTATGAATCTAGGTGATCCCCTTACATAGAAAGCCTGCTATTTTTCTTCTTGGTACTGTGAAAACAAGCACATATTTTAGGGAGTGGTCTGGTTTCAACTTTGGGTCACAGATTAGACTAGTTGCAGTCATAGGACAAAGTTTTGTTAAAAAGTCTGACAGTGCCTACAATCTGTAACAAAGAACAGAAAACAATTGAGAGCAACCTTTGTCCTCACTCAGCCTTTATTACTAAAATTTAACTACAGTCATATGGAATTTAGAAAGAAAATGTTGCTTAAGTGTAATACTGTCTTTTCTTCCTTGGCTCTACATACTTTCAGAATTAATTGCTGCTTCAAAATACCTCTCAAAATATGCCATCAGTGTTTCTTTCTAAAATATATAACCTTTAAAATATTTCTTCTGCCTCTGGTTCAGCACTTTTGACCATTCAACAGTCAGCAAGAACAGCATTCTCTGCAAGGAGAAGATGTATTTATGCCTTATCCTAATAGATTTATTTTATAGCAGTGCAGAAAGTAATACATCTCATACTATTTGCTAAAGAAGTGCAGTTTTCGAGGGCACTGGGGAATACACTGTTAGGAAGCCAAGTGGAACCAGATTTTATACTGCTCATCTTTAGTCCATGCTTAAGACATAATTGTTTTCCACTTGATGCAAAGGTATAGCCTCTTTTCTTTCAGTTAAGGCAAAGAAAGATCAGCTGGTCAGTGCTAATAATAGATATGACAAAAACATTTGACTGTAGTTTTTGTTGCACCGTTGTTTGTTTAATTAGGTCCAAAGCCTGCTAATTCTGTAATGTTTTTCCCTCTAATGTTTGCTATACTGTTCAATGCAGAGGCTAACCCATACAGAGTTGTATTTTCTACACATTTTTAATTCTATCTGTTGTTTCCACTTTTACTTAGACAGTGTTTAAGGACACCTGGAAACTATTTGTTTTGATTCAACATTTGGTTTTGAAGTGTTCAAAGGAATGAGGTTTCAGTAAAGAAGTCATTAAAGAAGTTGTCCCATTAAAATGTTCTAAAATGACCTGCTGCTGTTATACTTTGAAAGGAAATAGCTACTCTGTTGTCTGATTTAGGTATTTTAGGACATCATTTTAAAAGATACAAAGAACAAATTATATTATTTTTCATTGTGTTATTTTCACAGTGTTAATGCAATCTTTATATGTATATTTGTGCTTGATTTGGTGTAACTCTCTGCATATTTTTGATAAAAATGTGGGTTTCTGTGAAAAGTTTAACTCAGTGCAAACTGTTCAGACAAAAACTAAATCAAATGGAGAACAGACATAAACCTCTTCCCCTCTGCACTGAAGAAGATGAAGCTTGTAGATAGGACATTGTTTTCAACAAGATTGTGGTCTCTCTCTGTTCCCAGTTGTGCTTGTTAGTCTCCCTCCTTATAACTGTTGGTATTTCTTTCTTGTGCAAAGTAAGAATCTTTTCCCTCTTTCATATTATTTCTTATACAATATTTTTCTGTTTCCTATTTTAACTGCCCTTACAAAGTACATGCTCTTTCTCTAACTAGATAATGGCACGAGACTGAAGACTTTGTCAATCAGTGGTAGCACTTAGACTAAACTAATAAATACACCTTTTCTGACCTTTCCTTCCCATCTCCATGTTTATTTACACCCAGGACAGAAGTAAAGGGTTTGAACTGAGTGAATGGCAAGATGGATAGAGAGGTACAAAATAATATCCATTAATTAATGGATAATTGATTTAAACAAAACTATGTCTTTGAATATGTCTTTGTTTTCAGAACATTCTGTCACCTACCCTTTCTTCCTAAGCATTCCTTGCACAGCA